TCCCAAGCACAAAACAGGCAATATCGGTCCAGCCCAATCTATGCCCATCGGTGGGCGGCAAGAACGCCACAGGAGGGAGAGGCTAGTTAGCCCCGCTCCAAATTCCAGCCTTGCCTCTTCCGGCAGCCGGCTAACCTCTACATTCCTCGGTTGTTCCGTACATAGGCGAAGCGGCACCTTCCTCATAAATCTGCTGAGGGGCTAATGACTAACCTCCTTAGCACAATATCTGGCACAGAGTAAGGGCTTATTCAACCGCCAGACCACAGCTTTTCTGTCAGCCTTCCCTGCTTTTACGATGCTATGAAATGGGCAGAGTTGTTTATAAAGCTCTCAGTTAGGGGTGAATCTTGTTTGATGGGGTTATTGGGATTTGTCACTCTATTTCCAAGACATCACCCTTCTCTTTCCTGGGCCAGCGGGTGCCCAGGAGAAGTCAAAGGAGCGCAGGAAGGCCTCTTTTTTCTCTTCTCTTTCCTAACCGTTTCCCTATTACATATGTATTGTAGGGGAGATGCTTCTTTTCCAGGTGCAAAATCCTCCTGGATGGGTTAGATGGTGTTCTCTAAGTGCAAGCTTGGACCGGCAGCTTCAGGATTATCTGGGAAGTTGTAAGGAATGCAAGTTCTCAGGCTGCACTCCCGCCCTAGTGAATCAGCATCTGCATGTTAACACTCCAAGTGATTCCAATCCGCACTAAATTTGGAGAGCCCTCAGATTGGGTTATCAGCCATTCACGTATCAACCGCACTGAATTTTGTAAGTTTGCGCCCTCAGAGGATGCGCACCGTGAATGGGGTGTGGTAGGTGGGAACTATTCGTGCACACTCTGCATGCTCTTCAGCAGAAGAGGCCAGAAGGGGGTCACCAGCCACCTGCCATCAGCAGTAGCCATACCATGCTACATTCCTGTCTTAAGTTACTTCCTCATTGCTCGGATAAAATATCTGACGTCCACAAATTACAGGAGGACAGGTTTCTTTTAGCTCACAGTTTATAGAGGTTTCAGTACAGTCGGCTGGTTCCAAGGCAGGGTGGCATGGCAGAGGGACACTGCGGAGGAGGAATAGTTCATGGCATGGTAGGTAGGAAGGCTTCCTTCTTTCTCTTTTTATTCCATCCAGGCTATGAGCAACATGTAGGGTGGGTCTTCTCTCTTTGGTAAACCCATCATTCACATCCAGAACTCTGCTAAAGCCATAGGTGGACTAATCCAGTACCACGCACCCATGACCCAGTCTTTCCCAGAAGCCCCACTTAGGAGCACACGAGGCTTGGGTGAATGTTGAGGTATAAGCCATAACACTTCTCATCAGCAATATATGAGTGGTGGACTTTATAGAGTCCTCCCCAGCTTTTCTTTTTTCTCGCTTTTATTTAGCCATTCTGATAATATAATAAAATTTCATTGTGATTTCCTCATTTTCCTTGATGGTTAATGATGCTAAGCATCTTTGCATGCACTGATTTATCATCTGTTCATGTTCTTCAGTAAGATTCTTATCTTTTGCCCATTTTTAGTTGCATTATTTGATTCTTTACTGTTCAGGGGTTTTTATTTGTTTCTTGTTGTTGTTGTTTTGTTTTGTTTGAGACAGGGTCATCCTATGTAGTGCAGTCTGGCCTTGAACTCACCGTATAGCCTGGCCTGGCCTCAAACTCGCAGAGTCCTCCTGCCTCAGCCTTCCAACTGCTGGGATTACAGGTGTGCACCACCACACCTGGCTTTACTGTTGAGTTTTGAAAGTTCTTTATATATTCTTAATATTAGTCCTTTGTTGGATATGTGGTTTTCAAATATTTTCTCCTGTTTATTTGTTTGTTTATAAGACAGATTGTCTTTTTCTGCTTTAGGTAATACTGGCCTTATAAAATAAATAAGTGTTTCTTCCTCCTTTGTTTTCTGGAAGAGATTGTGTAAAATTGATGGTAATTCTTCTTCAAATGATTGGTGGAAATCTCCAGCAATTCCATGCCCTGTGGACCCCATTCCCACTCCCATAAATGCCAGCACTTACAAGATTTAAAAGGAAAAAGGAAGTTACCTCTTCAATTTACAGTCGCAAGGTGGAATATCTTTACTACTCTTAATAAGGTTGCCAATTATTGTGTATTAAAAACAAGTCTTATGATTTTAACATTTTAATTGAATCACTTTTATAAAGACACTATCTCCAAATAAGGTCACATTCTAAAGTACTGGGAGGAAAGATTCCAACATACCTTTTTATGAGGGTGCTGGGGGAATCACAATAAATTGAGGCCAGGGCCCAGAGACCTTAATGGAGGCCTTAATGGTCCTGCGATGCTATGAGGCTCCAGGGCAAGATTACATCAGCATAGGATCACCGCTGCCCTCTAAGTCATCCGCACTGATCCTCATCCACATAAAATGTGTGAATTTAAGATTCTTATGAGTTTAAGATCACCACTCCCTTCCAAATCATATGAAAATCCTTCCAAGTATTGTTTGGGTCCAATAAAAAGTGGCTGGCTCAGAGGGTCATCGTTTCTGCCCATCCTGAGGCATTGATCTCCCAGCCCCCCCTTTATGAATTACTAAATTTGTTTCTGGTTTTTCTTCACCCTTTTGCCATCCCCCTCATACAGGCAGATGGGGACGTTGGCCAGGACCCCAATACGAGGTGGGGTACAATTCAAGCCATTCTCTCTGAAGCCAAGCAATGGGCAAGAGAAGGAGACTGGAAACTTGTTCCATAGCCAGGTGGCTGCTTTGTCAGCTTCCCCTGTGCTATCTGAGCAGGGAAGAGAAGTCCCTCATATCCAACTCCACCCCTGCCTGCCTGGGCACCAAGAGTTTTTTAAATGGACTCTGAATGTGCCTGCAGGCTCCCAAAATTGTGCATATGAGAATACAGGACACCTTCTTGCCAGGGCTACTCCAGTGGAAGAAGAAGGCACACACAGCCAAGGAATGAGCGTTTACCCAGAGCCAGGCCTAAGTGCAAAGATGTTGCTATCTCCCAAGGGACCCTCAATGCCTAAGGGACCACTAGGGGCAAGCCTTTCTCCCACAGGCAAATAGCGAGGTTGTAAAGTGAGGTAAAAACTACCTGTCCACCCCTGCATGCTTCCCCAGGTCCAGGGCTGAGAGTCCGGTTGAGAAAGGAGTGAAGGGAGGGTGATGGTACCCAGCCCTCCACACTATGTTCTAGGGTCTGTGCAGCCAAATCTTAATTTAGCAATGAGATGGATGTTTTAGACATAGAACTGAATCTTCTACATCAAAGAGTCCCGAATATACAGAAGGAAGAAGTTACAGGCTGAGAGTGTTAAAAGCGCTGCTACCCAGCAGGAAACAGAAGTTTCATAGATCAAAACTGAGCAAAATGACTGGAAAAAAATTAAATGATGTCAGACTTGCTCTTCACAGAGCCCATACTCAAAACAACAGAGAATGTCACATGTGCACATCATAGCACCGCAGTGGAGTTCATTTCAGGGCCTGCTGCTTTGCGTAGCAGGTTATCATACACAGTTTCCCCTGTCATTAGTTATTCCTCAGAAGTATGATTTTTTAATGACTACAGTGTCTACAGGCACTTGATCTCACATGTAATCCACACCTTTACTCAGGCTATTTTTTGTCTGATTCAGCTCTCAGTTTTTAACCTAACACCAAACTCTTAATGTGTAAATACCAAGCATATTAATGCATCTGTGATAAGTATAATCATAATAATAAATAGAAAACAAAAATTAATTTTTCTACTATTGTAAGTGTGTGTGTTCTACCCCATGGGTTCCTTTACATTCTTTCACAGCATGGTAAGTACTGTGATAGGAGAAAATAGTTTAATGCAGTTAAACCATATACTAGATGAAAAGTAGTTGGGTTTAAAATAAAATATAAAAATGATACAATTGCAGCACATAATTTCCACTGGTACTTGATGGGAGCTGTGGGATAACTTCACAACATCAAGTAGCAGCCCTGAGTGAAATTCTGACGAACGCCTTCTCTGCGTCACTGCACTTTAAGCTGAGATCAGAGCAAACACTTGGTAGAGTGGGACTTGGAGCTCTTCCATCACGCTCAGCAGGCGGCTTCTCTTGGCCTTCTACCAGTGGAAGGTCCGCCTTCTGTAGAAATCTTCAGTGTGGCTAACGATATGTTTCACAGTTTTCATGAGTTCTATCACCATGAGGTCATCCAGTGACCAGCAATGTGAAGGAGGAAGAGCTGCCCAAGGATAGGATAAAGACTCGAAAAATTCAGAGCAGATGCAGGAAGATAGAATTCCCAACCTTCTAGTTCCATCAACCTCACAAGGAAAGAGTGAACAAAGTTCACAAACAAAGCAGCAGGCCCTGAAACGGACTCCATTGTAGCACAGGTGGGAACAAAGAGTGAAAAAAAAAGATGGCAGATGCTCAGGGGCCCTTCCTGTGGGTTTGGGCAGTGCCTGTTCCTACTGTCAGAATGTTACTGGCACCCTGCGGGCAACACTTTTAAAGCACAGGACTAGTCCAAGGTGTAAGATCAATGCTCCCTTTCTACATCATGGGCGTTATTAATAAAGATGTAGGTTTTTATGCATTGGCAAGCTGCACGCCACTCAAAAGAAACAGATAAGGAAAATCCAAGAAAGCCTAATTTTGCAGACAGGGGAAAAATTGACATCACTGACCATTTTAAATACATTTCAAGGGCTGGGGATATAGCTCAGCAGCACAAGCACCTGCCTGGTAAGCACAAGGTCCTGAGTTTGCTCCCTGGTACCAAAAATTAGTAAATAAGTAAGTAAATAAATAAATAAACAAATTTATTTCAAGATGCATTAGGAAATGTTCAGACACTATTGTGTGTCTGTGTGTGTGTATGTGTGTAAATATTCTGAGAGAGGACCAACAGTCTGTAGGTTTTACCTGTAGGAGAAAATAGTATGTATCATGATGGTACTTCTAACTGAAAGACGTCTTGCTTCACTTTAATCATCTCTCCTCAAAGTACATGGGGGCCCGGGACCCCTTCCTACCTGTGCTGGTGTTGCTACTGGGGCTGGCCAGCAGAGGCCCCGAGCCCTGGGCTGCGGGTGGGGGCTGCCCATTGCTCAGCTGCCTGACTCTTCTGCGGTGGGATTTGCCATTGTAATGGACCTGGGCCTGGGCTGCAGAGTTCAGCTGGATGTTGCACACCTCGCAGAAGGAGAACAGGATTTTCTTTTTCTCTTTACTTAACTGGTCTTCAGGCCTGTCGTTCTTTATCCCCTTTTCTTCAAAGCCCCGGAGAAAAGTTGCCATATTCATAATACCATCTTCAAGGTGGTTGTCAGGGCTTAAGGAATACTTTGTACCTAGAAAACAAAGCAAAACAAAATGGTAGAAGTGCTTGTAAATTCATACATACTTTCTTATTTTCTAGCATGAGCACAATCAATTTTTAATGGTTTGATTTAGGTAGATGTCCCCCAGTCATTTAATTGTCACTCTTGAGAAATGTCTTCAGAAGTACCTGATTGTGCACATTGGTTTTGAATAGGAGTTCCCTTATCTGGAGCACTTTATACCCATCTTTGTTCTCCCCTCCCCATGTCACTTCCTATCCTCTTTGTCCTTTATACTCCTGCTTGCCTGTGAGACCTCGATAGCACATTGCCCTCTTGTTATGGCTTATATGTAGCTAACCCCTCAAAGTCTCATGTGCTCACAGGTGGGGGTTTCAAGCTGGCTAGATCTAGGGTGTGTGATATTGGGACTAAAAGGTGTATGGTACTAAATTAGTCCACTGATCGGAATTAGCATAGTTCTAGGTATGGGTAATGGAAGCGCCACCCTGGGTGTGGGTGGCACCAATCAATAGACTTTTTAGCCTGAATGGAATATAAAGGGACAGAAAAAGATTGGCCTGCAGCTGCTGCTGCCCGCTGCCTTCTGCCTGCCATGCCATGAACTATTTCTCCTCTGTGATGCTCCTCTGCCAAGCCACCCTGCCTTAGAGCCAGTCAACTATGGACTGAAACCTTTACAAACTGTGAACTAAAGTAAACCTTTCCTCGTTTACCTTGTGGGTGTTGGGTATTGTGTCTCAGCAATAAGAAAAACAGCTATTTCTCCAAAGGACCCACTCTGGCCCTGAAGAAAAGACAGGCCTGGTGGTATGCCACATGGTTACGCATCACAGCAACTATCAAAATGTGCATTTCATATGCATTTGTGCAATTATTTGTTTATGATGGTTTCCTAATTAAAGTATAAACTCTGTAAGAGCAGTAACCTCATCCTGGGGTATTTCTTAGGCCTACTACTCCACCTTTTACATAACAGACACTTAAATATCTATTGCAGGAGGAAAGGAATAGATGTTATGAACCCAGTATTGTGAAAAACTATAGTATGTATGTTATATTTGTACAATGGTCACACATCTGTACATATGCAGGCACACACCTCAGCAGGGTGATAACAAAGGCCAAAACACAGTATTTCTATAACTTACATTGGGTCGTGTTCCTTTATAAGTCAGCCCCTGGAAATTCACACATATTTTCTGATAGATGTAATGAAACAATTTGGGTTTTGGTTTCCAGATTAGCCCATAAACATCAATTTAATCTTTGATAAATTTGAAATGTAGAGCATCTGAAATACAAAATAATATATTATCGTCAACTAGCACTTGAAAAACAGTAAAGAGTCAGACATAATTATAAGTGCTGTTTTTTTCTTCATTTATTTAGATAAGGGTATAGTGATCTTCCTAAGATTTCAAAGGGGAGTGTTCAGTACCTTTAAACCCATAGATGGTGGTAGCTACAATGGCTTTCTATTTTGTTCAGTTATACTTTAAAATCAGTGAGTTTCCATTTTGGCTAACCCCAAGGTAACTGGTATTTTCATATTATCAGTGTGACTACAGCAACGCTTTTAGGTTCTCAAGTTAAATAAAGAAAATTCTCCAAGAAGACAGGGACAAGCAATGAGGCAAAAACGAAAGGAGAAATGTGTGCACGAGGAAGAATGGGCCGAGGATGTCACTGTACCATGAACCATGAAGAGTTCTACAAAGGTCTGTGCCTATGGGAGACGCCAGGGGGACTGAAGACACTGCTGGGAACATTTCCTTCATCTAAGTTGGTATGGGGGCTTTCTGGAAAGGGAGGTGCAAGGAGACACACGCTCACTTTTGGATTCACAACTGAATGACTGAAATTCAAAAAAGGTATGGCCAGAAAGGCGGATACTGATTTCATGTACAGAATAACAAAAATATCTCCTTATTTACTTTCATATATGCGGTTGTGAAGGTTGTTTGACTATTGCTAATTTGATATGTAAAACATATTTGTCCCATATCATACTTTACTCTGCTCCTGCCATTTTAAGGGACTATTGCACAAAATTTTCCAAACAAATTCTTCACCATTCAGCTCTCCACAAAGGCAGGTTCTACTTCAAAATCCATTCAGACTGCACATAATCAGATTTAGGCAATTTTTATAGCCAATATGGAGAAAACGACATTATGAAAACATAATTTGAACTGCAAGTGTACACACACACACACACACAGTTTTTTAGTCCATAAATCTAAATCTCATAAAACTTTAGAAAACACAAATGCCATATAAAAGTTACATTCAAACATACTACTGTTGTCTCTCTCAAAATATTAAAACATAAGGGTTAATGAACTAATTGCTAAACAAATGTATAATTTTTAATATTAGCTTATCAGTATTAGGTCCTGTCTAGAAAAATGAAGCCTCTGCAAAACATAAGAAAAAGTTAACCTTGCAAAGCTAGGCCAGGCCCAGTCTTTCCAATTCATTAAAACCAGAGTGCTACATTTCGACTCAAAGCACCAAGATCCTTGACTTGGCTGAGTGCTGTTGACACTCTCATCTAAAATGTGACCTCTTTGGAGGTGTCTGGCCTTGCCCATGTTGTGAAGTAACGTACTGTAATTCATCCAAACAGGATGGACATCATAATGCTCTACACTACATCTAAGATCTAAAAAATGGCATTGTATTATCTTCTAAAAGATAAACCCAGCTGATCCATCCCTTCCTGGTTGCTATTTGTCCTGCAAACAATTTATATTTCATATTTATTGAAAAAGACAAATTTTAAGAACTAAGAAACCTTTGAAATAAAGTGAATAGCTATTCTAGAATTCCATAATTTCTTTAGGATCAGCACCTTTCATAACATTTCACCCCTCTTTCATCTTCTCCCCAAGAGACTCTCACAGGTGAGAGCCCAAGCTGCCCACACCATATTCCTGGGCCACTCTAGGGAGGGGACAATCCCAGGGGAGGAGGTGTCCACCAAGTCTCAATTTATTAGTCCTAATTATAGCTTCATCACATTTCTTCTCCCTGAGAGGGGAAAAATAAGTCCAGCTCTCATTAACAGCCACTTGCAACCAAAGTATATTTAGTTCCAGAGGTCTTGGGAAAACGACCTAGTGGTGGTAGAGAGGGAAGATATCAGAGTCTCGACAGCCACTGTGGGCTTGAAATGATACAATTTTTAGGCTTATACTATGTGTGGATGTGATAGGATTTATAAAGTCGACTTTCTGGCTAAGGAGAAGGTAACAGTTTACGTGGAAGAAAAGAGAAAAATCACACTTACTATTTTAAAGTTGTTTATCAGACTCTCTTAAATTACATGTTTCACTTGCATGGGGTACATGGACCTTCAAGGTTTCAAACAGAGCAAGAGGCAGCATTCTACTTTTGATTGCCTGAAAGGGGGCTCTTAGAGTAAAAAAGGCAGGACAAGGAAACAAGTGCATGCTCTATTTTCCCTCTGTAACTTTCTGTAAGATGTATTGCAGCACCTTTGCATCCAGGAGGAAGTAGTCTCTTTTGTTGCAAGTGAAGAAACGAGAAAAGGGCAAATGAACTGACGGACCCAAACTGGATGAGCAGTGCAGATCTGTCGGAGTGGTTTAATTGGCCGGGAGGCGATTCATGGGGGAACTTTTTGAAAGTAACACCTTTCTCTGGTATAGCCTTGACTTGCAGTTTTTCAGGTGTTTTGATAATAACTTGAAAATAACAGAAATCTGATTCAGAAATAGACATTTCTGCTACATGTGTAGAAAAATACACGTTTTTGACAGTGGCCATGCCCAGTGGAGAAGAGAGAAGCAAACCTCACTCCTAAGTGAGAGTAACATGGCTCTGTCCCTCCCCACCCCGACCTGAGGGTTTGTGATCTCATTCTCCCGTGCAAGTGATCGGTTATCCACTTCCCATTCATCCCTTAACCCTTTATTCTCTGGTTTACAACTCATTTCCAAATGTACTGTGTCTCTCTGAAAAGTCACGTACACATTTCACCCCAGCAAATCCCATACAGTCCCAGCTCACCTCTCTACTCTTGAAGTTCTCAGGATACATCACTTGTCAGGGTCTCCTCCTACCTCTGCCCTCCTGGAGCAATATAGTGTTATTTATTTATTTGTTTATTTCAGTAAATGTTTACCTCCTATGTAGACAGAAGCTGGACACCAGGGAAGAAGAGCGACGAGGGTGGGTTGGGTGAGAAGCCCAACCTGATGGGACCCTTCAGACCAACAGGAAGTGCCAAGCAGAAAACAGGAAGTACCTCAGAGTGCAGTAAGTACTCTGGAAGAGCCTACATTTTCCTTCTTTGCTGGACTCAAGCTCCTTGAGGATAAGAACTGTGCTTTATTTATCCCTGTATTCTCGGCATCTAAGACTGTTGTTAGTATAAAAAGCAAACTTAATAAATATTGGCTCAATCAATAAATGCACTGCATTTGCACACTGTATGTGTGTGTGGTATGTTCAGTATATCTGGGAATGTGTTGCATGTGTATGATGTGTATGTGGTGTACATGTGTGCAGCATATACCTAATAACCAAGTGAACATAGTAACCAAGATCAATGTTTCCAAAAATAAAGCTTTAACTTCAAGTTCTGTTGGGGTAACTCATACACTGATAAGGGTACATTTGCATCAATATTTATGTGGCACAGCTCTTTACTGTCATTATTCACGGGCAACAGAACACCAGGTGTTGTGGGACAGTTTGCACAAAAATTTGTGAAGATGAAAAACACATAGATGGTGGAGTAATCCCAGCACTCTAGGAGGCTGAGATAGCAAGACTATAAATTCAAGCCCAGGGAAACTTACAGCCTGGGAAACTTACAGACTTAGTGAGACCCAGTGTCAAAATAAAAAATAAAAGGGCTGGGGATGTATCTCAGAGTGAAGGCCTTTGGTTCAAACCTGAGTACTGCAATGAAACAATCAATCATTGGAGAAAATTCAGGACTCTGGCCTTGATTCTTGCCCACTTCACTGTGTTGCAAAAACCTAGCACTTAATCTTCTTCATTTATGAAGGGTAAAATGTTGAGTTCCTGGGCTATTAGGCCACAAACAATGTCCCTCTCTAAAATAGTTTTGGAGAAAAACAAAAAAAAAAAAATCAGTAGAGCACGTTCACATTGTTGTATGCTTCCATATTTATTTCATAATAGGATCTAGATACAGGAACCTGCATGTGATGTAATTCAGCTAAACAGTCACCTGTTAAACAATGATGATTAACTAATATACTACCCTTGTTATATTGGTAGTTAAAGAAATGTATAAAACAAATAACTTTTAGTAATGAAGAGCTTATGATAACTTAGAAAACAAACTCCTCTATGGAGAACTCCTTGAATAATAGTTCCCAAATCACTTTGTGCACAACTTCTGCAGCATTTTAGTTTTATTACATTGGACTGAAGTTATTACTTAATGTTTGATTTCACTAGACTGTTCGCCTGTCTCATTTTGTTTCTAGTCACCTACGAGCACTTTGCTGAGTGCTGGTGAAATAGATTGTAATGGCATGCTCTGGCCTAATTCAAATCCCAAAAGACTTGACAGTAATGGCTGGGTAAGAACTACTGACATTCTGATGCTTTTAGTAGTTTGTTTCCCTTAAAAATCTTTTTTAGCTCAGTGTGATGGTTAAGCTTTCTTGTCAACTTGATTGGCTTGGGAGTTGCCTAAGGGATTAGTAAAATACACTTTAGGTGGGTCATGGAAACGTAATTCAAGAGATGATGTTTGGTCTCTTTCCTGTTCTTTTCTGGTGCTATTTGCCAGCCCTGCTACCCAGCTGACATGAAGTGGCCTTCTGCCACTTCCTGCCTTGGAGCCAGCCAACCATGGACTGAACCTCTGAACCCATGAGCCAGCTAAACTTTTTCTTCTTAAAATTGGGGAATGAGGTATTTTGTCTTAGCAACAGGAAAGCTGGCCGATACACTCCAGTTGTGGCACACACTGCTTCTTTGTTTTGGGGTAACTATATTAGAGGAGTTTTATTATGAGAAAGTAAAGCTGAGACTTTATTCTACATGGAGACTTGGAGTTATGGTTCTGAGGATCTCAATTTGCTTTACATAAACATAAAAGTTGTCCTTACTGCAGCTCCACTGCATCTCTGCAAATTATCCTTTTTTTTTTTTTTTTCCACAAAGAATCTTTTTCTTGTAAGTGTATTTCAACTGTAGTGTCCCTAAAAATTTTTGTTAGATCTTGGGAGAGACTGTGTTCTCTTATTGAAGAAGGAGTCACAGGAGATTAGTGGAGACCGGAAGGTATCAGAAGGACATGCAGATATCTAGCCTTAAAAAAGAAGAATGGCCTGAGACTGCTGAAGCTCAAATTGGATAATACTGTATTATAACCCATATTTTGGGTCATTCTGAATTGGATAAGCTAGACTTTTGGGAAAGTACTACTTTATTGTGAGTTATCATAAGGGCTACAAGGAAAGGCCACACTGCTGTGTGTGGGTCTAGAGGAGATATTCTCACATTCAATCTTATCAGAAGATTGACAGGGCAAGAAAGACACCCTCAGAGGGATGAGTTGTGACTGTCCCTGGGTCTGGAGGAACAGCTGGCCCAGGACTCAGATAGGAGAGACTTATTCAAGGCACTCCTACAGTTAGGAGATAAACTGATCCCTAAAACGTGGTGACAGGTCTGATATTCAGGCAGAGACCTCCCACCATTGACAGTTCCTAGGGAGGACTTTGGTCTGTGAACTCAGGGCACCTTTATATTAAGTAGCAGTTGTGGAGTTGCATACTTGTATCCCCACCTTTAAAATCTCCAAGCCACCGCTGAAATCATGCAGTGATGACAGCTGGTCTTCCCGCTACTGTGAGACACTGAGTAAGAGTCTGGTGAGGCACCTGGGCTGAAGGTCTATGTGGGAGAGCAGCAGCAAAGGGCGGCAGGCTGTTACTGAGCAACAAGAGGGAGGCGGTGGCCCAGAACTGGAAGGCTGGAAAGGATGTCAACCACAGGCGTCTTGGGATACTGCAGGGATTCAACAAAGTCAAAATGGGCAAACTAATAAATTAATGGAATTCTTGCATCAAGTAGGATGCAACAGAGACTTGAACTATTTTGAATTAGGTAAGTAAGCTGGGAGATTTAGATTACTTAAATATAAGGAAAATAAATTTGTTATTCTTATTCATTATTAAGATACAAAGTCATCAAGATGTCTAGCACTTAAAAGGTGTTTTATAAATCTTTGACAAAATAAGTCCTGTATTAATTCAGCTGAAATTCAGTTTTAATCAAAAGCTGCTTGGGAATTTGGCTTTGGCCTTTAAGAAGCCCAACAGTTGACTACGTAGATCAATATCTCTTCTTGTACTATTCATCTTTGAAGTACTTCTAGGAAGCACCATATACAAATAGCATAACAAAAAGTTAATAATAAGGACAAGGCAAGTATTTTATTCTTCAAACTAGAATATAAATTGCAACTATATATGTAAAACTAAGGTTGAAAATACCCTTATATGCCTATGACATTAAGTTCTATCCGTAGAAGGAAAAATGTGTGTTTCCTATTACAGGTGCAAAACATTGCAATAAGAGATTGCAACATGGCTGATGAGAGAAACAGGTGCCCTGGAAAAGCTTGGAGGAGAAACAAGAAATACCGGCTAAAGGACATATTCTCAAGTGGGGGAGGCAAACACACCAAGATACAGAAAATTAACCTAAAAGCACAGATCCTCTAGATCAAGTATCTGGGTTGTTGAAAAGAGGCGCAGCGCTGCCGCTGGGCTGCAGTTTCCCACCTTTTACCTAGTGAGCACATGATCTTGGGAGTGGGTCTAATGGCCTGAAGAGAGAAGAGGCTGCACAGGCCAGACTCATGGGATATGTTCCCTATAGCCTCTCCCTCCCACATGGAAGGGAAACCCAACCTGAAAGTTAATTACAGTTAGGGCCCCACAGAGCCAGGGAAGGCAACCAGAGAAAGGGTGAGCCAGCAGCACAGTATCAGGCAAGCTCTCCCCATGCCCTCACCTCTCAAACAGCAGGGACCACTGTGCCCCTACCCACCACCCATAACTCATTATCCGCAAACAAAGCTCCTGCCCTAGGCTGAATACCAGGAACCATGGGTGCTGCCAAGTTAGTATACTGCAGGGAGCCATGGTCACATCCCCAGAAATAAGGGGCAGGGGGAGTCAATGGAGCCCACCAGAGTAAGCACTCTCCTATCTTCCCCCCAAACACCAGGAAGACTGAGACAGTGTGAAATTCTGCCCACTGCCCACCATCCCACACAGGTAAATGAAGCCCTGGGCCTGAGGTCTGTGCCAAGTTCCATTGGTTGGAAAGTGGAATTCCTGAGACAAGAACCAGGACTGATGAAGGTCTGAAGGCAAAGGAACAGAAAGAATCTCCTGGGGCAGATCTCTGGTGATATGCTGGGCAGAAGGCCTCTGAAGGGACAGCATGGGAACGTCTTGCAATGAAGGGTGTAGCAACAGGAGATCACAGGCAGAAATCAAAGAAGAACTAGGCGTTGGGCAGACTCCATCACATCATCATCTTCTTAATTTAAATGAAGTGGTCAGATCTGGAGATGAAGATCTGAAGTTGGCCACACCCAAAGCATGGCTTGTAGCCAGGACTCACATGCAGAGAGACTGACCCGAGCCCTCACCACTCCCAGGCAGCCAGTTAAGCAGTCCATCAGGGAAAATGACTTGGTTGCCTGCAACTGGACTGTGAATTCAGACTGAAGGGAATCATGTAGACACTGGCTATATGGGGTAGCAGCCGTGTGGTTTTTCATTTTGTTTTTGTTTCCTTGCTTGTTTGTCTGTTCTGGGTTCTCTTTGGGTAAAGCAATTAGGCAAAAGAAATAAAACAGACATGTATAGGAAAGGAAGAAATCAAATGATCATTATTTGCAGATGACATGACCCTTTATGTAAAAGACTGAAAAAAATTGCTCCTAGACTTAATAGCAAATTAAGCAATGTAGCAGAATACAGTATTTCTGCACACCAACAATGAATTCACTAAGAAAGAAATTAAGAAAACAATAAAAATTAAATACTTAAGAATTAACCTAAGCAAGTGTGGTGGCACATGCCTATAATCCCAGCACTCAGAAGGCTGAGGCAAGAGGATAGCCATGAGTTGAAGACTAGCCTGAATCACAGAATGAGACAGTATCTCAAAAAAACCAAAGCCAAAACACACAAAAAAGTAACCTAACCAAGGAAATGAAAGACCTCTATAATGAAAACTATAGTACTCTGAAAAGGGAGATCAAAGAAGACATCAGAAAATGCAAAGATATTACCTGTTCTTGAATAGGCAGAACCAGTATTTTGAAATTTGGCGTATTTCCAAAATTTTTATACAGATTTAATGCAATCCCAACCAAAATACCAATAGCATTACTCATAGAACTGGAGATAAAATATCTTAAGATTTATATGGAACCAGAATAGACTCAGAATATCAAAAGCAGTCCTGGGCAACAAAAACAAAGCAGGAGGCATCACTATTCCAGATGTCAAGTTATACTACAAAGATACAGTGATAAAAACAGCATGGTACTGGCACAAAAACAGACATATGGATCAATGAAATAGAACAGAAGATAAAGAAACAACCATAGCCACATTAAGTCATCTGATCTTTGACAAAGGAGCTAAAATCATATCCTGGATGAAAGATAGCATTTTTAACAAAAGGTGCTGGGAAAACTGGTTACACACATGCAGGGGAGTGTACACCCATACCCATCACCATGCACCAAAATAAAATCAAAATGGTCAAAGACTTAAATGTTAAAGTGGAAACAGTCTGCTGGATGGGAAAATAGGTAAAAATCTTGAAGCTATAGGCACAGGGAAGGACTTATAAATAGAATCCGCAATTGCAAAAGAAATTGTATCAAGAATCCATAAATGGAATTACACAAATTAAAAAAAATTCTGTACAGCTAAGGAAACAATCAATAGAGACAACGTACAAAATGGAAAACAAATATTGCCAGCTACTTTGTCAGATACTCCTAGGAGAGTGATATTTAGAATTTACAAATAATTTATAAAAAATCAGACTCCTGTAAATAAAAAAGCCAATCAAATACTTGGCAATTCAGATGAATAGATACTTCTAAGAAGCACAAATGGCCCATAAATATGTTTTAAAAATTATCATCTTCAGCCATCAGAGAAATGCAAATTAAAACAAGATTGATATTTCATCTTACTCCAGAAGGAATGGCTATCATTAAAAATATTATGCAATAACAAATGCTGGCACAGCTGTAGGGAGAAGACACACTTCTACATTGTTGATGGGAAAGGAAACTGGTATAAACTCTAAGGAAATCAGTATGGATATTCTTCAAAACTAAAAATATAACTTCCATTTGTTATGATCTAGCTATTCTCCTTCACTGTATCTTTCCAGAAAAGTTAAACACATCATACCACAGTGATGTATGCATGTCCATATCTATAGCAGCACAACTCATAATAGTTAAATCTTGGAAGCGGCCTATATATTCATGATGAGATGACTGAATAAAGAAAATGTAGTATTTATACATAATGGAATACCACTCCACTATAAAGAAGGATGAATCTGAATCATCTGTAGGAAAACAGATGTACCTTGAGACTATAACGTTAAATAAAATAAATCAGAAACAGGTTAAATATCATATAACTTCTCTTATGCAATAAACCTAAAGTATAAAGAATTTAAAAAGCAAAATAAAAGATTGACAATGGGAAAGAAGGAGATAGATCTTTTGCAAATGAGAAAGGGTTACAGAGATGGAAGGAGGGAAGGGAAGGAGAATAAATAGTTAAGATACATTAATTACATGCATATCCCTCTAAGATGAATGTAAACGTTATGTTCTGCAAACATGTATTAATAAACAAACATAAAACACCAAACAAAAAGATGTAGTACTGTTGATTACGAAAGCTTTTATTCTATGTGAAAAGCAGTTATTAAAATTTTTCAAACAGGCAAACAGAGAAATAAATTGATAGTTACATCTAACACTAACTACAGAGCTACAGAGAGAACATACACTTATTTTTGAGATACAAATATTTATTTGCATCTGAAATAAAATTTTAGGGTACAAATTAGATTATACTGTAATTATGATCTTTGGAGAACTGTGTGATGTACCAGCTTTCATGATATTAAATAAATAAACTTCAAGAACTCTATGTAATATTTTATTCACTGAATTTTATTAAAGTATGAATATCTGTAGGAAAAAAAATCCTATTTGTGAGTTCTCTTCCTTTTAGGATGAATCAAAAGCAAAAGACCAGCTTTGCTATCTCAAAAGTATTACCCCAAGGAGATAATTAAATAATACTTAAACTCGTCAAGTGGTAGAAATTTTTATCTCCATGTGTCAAGAGTTATTGTAATGGCAAAATTAAGCTTTATTCTTGGTCAAATATTTATTTCCACACTTGGCTTTGTTATTCAGCTGAAACATGCAATGATATACCTCTACCTCTAAGAAGGAATGTTTACTGACTAGGCTACACCGTCTTCTTTATACTGAGAAAATCTGTATTCCACTTCCTCTTTCCCTGGATGACAAAGGTGACTCACATGAGACAACAGCAGAGCACAGAAAAGTGAACTTAACTGAGCAAATCTAAATGTTAAAAAAAAAATGAGATTGTAAGGGAAAAGCTAACAGAACGTTTTCATGACTTCGGAGTAGGCAAAGAGAAAAAAGTCTTGACCATAAAAGAACAAGTATAGATTGAAATATATTGAAATTGAAATAGTTTCTTCACCTACAGACACCATTATGATATTTAAAAGCCACCAATGGGAAGAAACATTTGCAATACACAAATCCAACACTTGACTATTATGTGAAAACCCCTTTAAGTCAACATGACAGACAATCCAATAGAAAAACAAACAAATGTCTTGCATTCATAAAAAACAACATTCAAATAGCAAATATACAT